TTTCGGAACGAAAGACATATATAACAATTCAGATCTATTGATACGTACTACTTATCATTGACTCAACTGACATTGATCTATAATTTGGTAGGAACGACATACATATGCATTGTTTCAGTATTTGAAAGATAGATAGAGTTGATTGAAAATGAAAATTAATTCACTTAAGCTACCTTTATGTTTCATTATTTTGCTTCGCAACAAAAAAGAATCACATCTTGAATGGATTTTAACGAAGTTACTTCTTTGAAGTCGAACTTTCTTTTTTTTTTCATGTGTTTGACATGCACATATTTCAAGATGTGTTCATATAAAATGACTTTCTTTCTATAGATAAGTATTTGAATGTTTGCATGAATTATGTGCATATTTAAAGCAGCTCATATGCTGAACACGTGAAAATCATACAAATGAACACACTTGAGACAATCAACTTGAATAGAATCATAAAACATTTTCTGCTCAACATGAAAGAATATTTCTTGCCATTGAGAATGTCTTAATCTACTTACTCATATAGGTTTCAACTTTTGTTTGTTTGCTACAGATTTTGTTATTTAATATGTGACTTTTTATAATGAATCTAATCATTTTAAATGTAAAACTGAAGAAAACAAAACGAAAATACATATAATTAAAAATAGTTTCACACATCACAGATGTCGTTTTCATAGTTGTGACAGATGACCAGGTATGGATATGGGTGAAGAGAAGATTAAAACCCACACCGATGTGTATAAGAATGTTAAGTGATTGAACAATAAGTTCAAGTGTCTGAACTTGCCAAAAGACTGCAGAATGTTTACACATCACATGACTTTCTTGCCCAGAATACTTGGATATATCATAAGTATGAAAAAGAAAATTCGACTAGAGCATAGAACATGATAGACGAAGTCGGCAGACCATTACAGACAGTAACATACATCTTAGCAACAACATATCACAGACTTGACAGGCATTGTTGTCATACGATTAAAGACTGTATGTGAACAACATCTCGTTATAATAAATGAATTACTTTCTCGTTTCAAGTCTCGAGGATTAAATAAAAGGATGATAAAGAAATGTGTTCCATAATAGATAGAATAAAATAATCTTCTTGTGAATAACAATAGCAGCTACATCGTGTTTTACTTTTTAATCCTACAGGAATTACGCAAAGAGCTTTTTTTTTCTTGGTTTAGATCTACAACACCTTGTCCAAAAATTTTATCAAATAATCATATGAATAATATTGATTCCATACGTAATACATCAATAGAAAATGGATCTCATAATACACAAATACCATTGGTTAATTCCGATGAAAAATTTTCTACTGAATCTTTATTAAAACAAAAAATGTGTTCAAGTAAAAAACATCATCATAAGTTAAATAGTAGTACATTTTCATCAGATCATCCGAAATCTCAATATTTACCCACATCTTCATTACAAAAACCACGTGTTTATACTCATGAGGATCAAATATTGGTTAATCAACAACAAGCAATGCTTTCATCTTCATCTGGATCATCAACAATGAGTTTAAAAGATAAAACTGTTAAGGAAGTTGGTGAAACAAGGTACATGAAAAATTTTCTTATTGTATTTTAAAAACACACTTTTCCTATTAAAGATCATATTCAATACAGGATGGACCTAATGTTATCGGTAGTGCTCGAGGTATTATAGATTATTACGGTGGAAAACTCTCTTGTCCCCTAACAGGTTTTATTTCATTTACTTTTTTTTAATCAAAAAAAGAAAAACCATAATTTTTCTAGGTGTATCATTATTTATACCAATGGGTGCAATACCTGAAGGTATTCAACAAGAAATCTATTTTCAAGTTCATCAAGATGATTCACGTAATGAAAAATTTCATGGTCACTTATTAAGTCCAATTGTTATCTGTGGTCCACATGGAATTCAATTTCAAAAACCAGTAGAATTAACTATACCACATTCAGCCGGAAATGATGTTCAACAATTATCTCTTCTTCCAAATGGTGCTAATCAAGGTAGATATATTCTTTAAAATTAATTAAAAAAAAAAAACATCAATTTTTTCTTTATTAGATAGCAAAATAAATTATCAGCAGCAAAACAAATCGTTAATAACGAATGGCATTAATCGTGTAACTAATTCAAATGTCTCAATTCTTGTTGATCATTTTTAGTTTCTTATTTTCGACCAACAAATGTATCCATTGCACTTGATAAACCAAAAAATGTTATAAATCTATCAAGACATTCATCTGGCAATAATCTAAATAAATCAAAATATTAATAAAAAACAAAAAAATTAAAACATATTTATTCTTTACCCTTTAAGAACATAAAATAAAGTTGTATGTGGTGGTAACATAACAAAACGTTTATTTTTTCGTATAGCATCAACAATAGAATCACAAACATAATTTTCATCAAGTAATGCAACACTAGCTGCCCTAAAATTAGAAGAAAAAAAACATATCCAAAGAATTTATTTCGGGAGGACAAAAGAGATTTTCCTACGATGCTGAAACACCATGAAACATTCCAGTGTTAATAAATGTTGGACAAACAACTGTTGTTTCAATTCCATCTTTTTTCTGTTGTTTTAATTCAGCTGTTAATGCATCATGTAAACCAACAGCAGCAAATTTTGATGAACAATAATCAGTTAATTTACTGATACCTTTAGATTTTATTTTATAAGAAAGAAATAGTTTATATAGAATACACTTACCAAATATACCAGCACCAGAAGCAATTGTAACAATATGACCATGATTTGAAGCTAACATTGGACCAAGAAATGATTTAAGAACCTAGATCAAAAGTATTCTATCAATTGTTGATCTTGACAAAAAAAACATTGTTCATATTTAGACTGACGAGAAAAACTCGTCATGTTATAATTCTATTTTAACATGAGTCTTAACTAGAGATATACGGGACCAAAAGAATGAAGCTTAATGGGAATTAGGACTACAGAAAAAAAATTGCAGGAACTCTAAACTCAAGTTTGTAGTAAAATATTTTATGATTTTAAACAAATTATCTTATAAATCATATGAGTCTGAATATACTTCAAGACAGATGATCCAAAAGAGTATAATGCAGAGGTGCAGAATCTACCCGTGTGCGTGTACGGTCGTGTGGGGAAAATTTTCGATTCATAGGAGAATCTTGGGGAAATAGCTGGGGGAAGACACTATCGTGCGGGGAAGTTTTTTAAAATCACGACGGATTCTGCACCTCTGGTATAATGTTCTCTAGATCAGAACTAACAAAAACTTGGTCCCCCATGTCAGAAAAAAGTTGAAGGATTGCTCAGTCCCCTGGCCATGCCTGTAAAAGAGATTGAAGACCATCTGATAGCATTTCTAGAGGAATCTCAAGCTCTTGTTTAAGTGAAACTCAATTATTAACAGGAAATTGGAAGGGCTCAAGGCCTTTCGAGCAGCTGAGTCTCCTCTAGCACTCGTCTAATTACATCGCCAGTCATGCTTATAGGTCTTTTGTTATTCAACTATAAACATTTTAGTGAATTTTGCAACAATCTGCCGTAATCCATCTCAGATCATCTTCAAAATTAATTTTCGAGTTCCCACTTTGCACCAACAGAGTTCTGAATGAGCCTAGTTTATTGTGAAAGTGTCAAATACAGCTACGAGAACAAAATTTGCTTTTTCGAATAAAAATTTTTTAATCACTGCTATTTCACAATCAGAGATACTGAAGAAATCTAATATTTTTAGAATAAAATAGTCCTATTGATAACTTTGTTTGTACGATGACTGAACTCATCACTTAACGAGGTTTTCACGTAAAGATGATCTGTAACTTTTAAATATTTAAATCAGCTTCGAAGAAAGTACGGTTTGCAAATAAATAAAAAATTGTGTAGCATAGTAAAAAATAATGGTGCGCAAGATGTCTCAGATGGATGTTCGAGTTTTTTATATGATAGGTATCTACAATTTTGTTCAAAACAGTATTGTTCAACATAATTCTTTATCTATATTCAAACTAACTGTTGTCAAGACTTCAAAATTTGTAAAATATCATTAAAAAAAAACTTACCCAAAAATGAGCGATAATATTAACATCAAATGTACGTTGAATTGATGCATCATCAAGATCCAATAATGATTTGCCACTGACTACACCAGCATTATTAATTACCATTGTTACATCTCCGACTTGTTCTTTCACCTAATATATAAACAAATGATAAGAAATAAAAAAGACATTATATTCTAACTTTTTGAGCAACTCGATAAATATCCTCTCGATTGCATAGATCAACTTTCATTGAATAAACTTTAGCATCAGAACACTTATCAAGTATTTGTTGTTTGGTTTCTTCATTTCCTTTTTCATTAACATCCCATAGAACTACTGTTGCACCAAGTGATGCAAGTCGTTTGGCTGTACCTCGACCAAGTCCAGAACCTTTAAATATAAAGAAAAAGAAAAATCATAAAGAAAAAAACCTTTTTTTCTAATCTAACCAGCGCCAGTGACAAGAATAATTTCATTTCGAATATTTTTTCGCAAATTTTGCACAAATAAAGTGCGTAACAATGCTTTAATCCAATAATAAATAAGTATTAAAAATGCTTGTGCATATTCCAAAGTAACAACTACACCCGACCACATTTTAGTATAACAACGAAAGAACGAAAAAACTGATAAGTGTAATGAATATATATTCTCCTTCTTTATCGTAGCTTGTTGACAAATAAGGTTATCTCTAAGTTTATTATTCTTTACAGTATGATCGTTTCGAATTTTTTCTGTCGGTCAATGTACATGACCCTGATTTTTTTTTATATAAATTACATAGTTAAGAACAAAATACGTTGCTTTTCGTTCTTCAATAAGAAAAAAAGCTTTTTAACGGTGTTCTTGAAGAAGGAGTTAATGTTTTTTTTTCTTTTCTCATACTTCTTCAAATTCAAAAGTGTCTAGCAACGTACACAAGCGGAGAATATTAAAAAAATCAAAAAAGCCTTTTTTGAATCATGCGTTATCCATGCATCGGTTTTCCAACATGTTTAAAATCATTTGACAATGGTTATGTTTTACGTGCTCACCATTTATCTTGTGAACATGCATTAAAGAAAATAAATAATCAAAATCAACAACAAGAAAATATTCGAAATATTCAAAACAATCATCTTAATAATCGAGCGAAAGAAAATAAAAATTGCCAAACATTCACTGGTTTAGATAATACACAAAAATTTCTTATTCGTGATCGATATCAACTTGGTGGAAATAATAATTCACAAGAATCTTATCGACGAATTCGTCAACCACCAGATCCAAAAATGGTAATCATTCAAACTAAATCTACATCAATAGATTTTAGTGGTTATTATACATAAATGGAGATATGAATAGGAACGAGATACAACAAAAAAGAAATGTATTTTATTCGTTTGAAAATTTTTTTTCGTCTAGTAAAAAACTTTATTTATTTTCTCAACATGTCAATCTTTTGGTTTTTTTCTTTCCTTATTAAATTCGATTTATATTATTAAATATCGAAGAAAAATGTTTAAAAAAATGAAAAAATAAATAATGATTTATTGTTTGAGCCATAAGAACAACAATTGATTATTTTCTGAATAAATACGATCTACTTTTTAATATTTGATAACGTCTTCCTACAATTGATAAGTAAACTAGGCAAAATTAATCATTTTCAAATATAGAGAAAAACAGCATAATGAGACGAAGGACATTATGAATTATCATCTAAAAAATATTATGTAAAATTTAAACTATAGATGTTTACAATCAATAGATTTTCGACGATAATGAATTATGTTTTAGAAAAAAAATGTCTCTGGTTTGATTACTTATCATTAACAATTTTATATTGCCGTCAGAATTTCGACATTTAATAAGATAAAATGCATGTTCAAAATTAATTTTTTCAAAATAATTTTTCATAACGCATAGCAATCAACATGTTGTCACAATACAACAATATATTGAAGGAAAAATTCTATTTTGCCTGATCAACAATCAAACGATGCTCTCAACCATAAGCAAAAAATTATATTTTGAGGCTGGTTCAACTAACAAAAAATAATAAACTACTAATAATTTTTGTAAATCAATTTGATTTAATATATAGCATCTTTCATATATCCTATATATATATATGTCACCTATTTTAAACAAAAAAAGACTTGAACAAATAGCAATAAATAATTAATGATTAAAATACAGTATATACTATAATTTTACGAATAGGAACTTTTGATCTTTAGTTGGTACGATCATCATCAGCTTTTCAACACATCGTTTGTGACCTTAGTATAATTATTGATTTTAGAAACAATCAATAACAGCTAGAAATCGAAGCAAAATATAACATAAATCAACTCATTAGGATTAACATATACTGGATTTTCATCATTAATTATTTATTGGTATTATTCAAGTCTTTTTTTTTTTGTTTAAAATTACTATTATTTCTATTGAAGAATTATATACTAGAAATGTATGATGTATTGATTTAAATACATTCATTTACATTTTAGTCAAGATGAAGTCCGTCAACATATAAATTGTTCTCGTTTTTTTTTGGTTGGTCATTTTGTTTTTCTAAATCTTGAAATCTTGCTGGATCATATATAGCATAATAACCAAAATAGAATGTTTACAGACATAGGTCTTNAAATTATATTTTGAGGCTGGTTCAACTAACAAAAAATAATAAACTACTAATAATTTTTCTAAATCAATTTGATTTAATATATAGCATCTTTCATATATCCTATATATATATATATATATATATATATGTCACCTATTTTAAACAAAAAAAGACTTGAACAAATAGCAATAAATAATTAATGATTAAAATACAGTATATATTATAATTTTACGAATAGGAACTTTTGATCTTTACTTGGTACGATCATCATCAGCTTTTAAACACGTCGTTTGTGACCTTAGTATAATTATTGATTTTAGAAACAATCAATAACAGCTAGAAATCGAAGCAAAATATAACATAAATCAACTCCTTAGGATTAACATATACTGGATTTTCATCATTAATTATTTATTGGTATTATTCAAGTCTTTTTTTTGTTTAAAATTACTATTATTTCGATTGAAGAATTATATACTAGAAATATATGATATATTGATTTAAATACATTCATTTACATTTTAGTCAAGATGAAGTCCGTCAACATATAAATTGTTCTCGTTTTTTTTGGTTGGTCATTTTGTTTTTCTAAATCTTGAAATCTTGCTGGATCATATATAGCATAATAACCAAAATAGAATGTTTACAGACATAGGTCTTTAAACTTGCAGGTGTACATTTATCAAATAATGTCCATAGTAATGATTGATATTTTCGTAGGTACACTAAAATATTATGATGCTTGTTTTTTATCAATGAAACAATATATGAAAATTCAAATGGATAAAATATTGAAATTTTTCAAACTAATTTCTATTGCTATTTATTTAATATTTTTTCTTAGTTGAACAGAATTCAGAAAAATATTCGTCCAATTATAAGACTAATCGATTTTGGTTTACTTTATTTATTTTTTTTGTTGCAATGATTGTATGCTTATGTGATCGTAATAGTATGGTCAAGATAAAATCATATATAAAAATATTGAATACTATGGAAATTATATACCTTTATAATTACTGATATGAAAGGACACGGATATTTAATATTGCTGTTCTATTTGTATTTTGCTTTCTGTTACTCTGCATACACGTCTATCATTACAAGAAAAATACTAAAACATATCAAAACATAGTTGATTAATAGAACGAAGGGCAAGCAATTATGCTAAAGAAAAATTTGTTCTCGTTCTCAGTGTACTTGACTCGTTTTTTGCATTCTATAGGTAAATAATTATTTTCATCAGTTCTTTGTCAGCAAGTATCACCTATCCTCGTTCCTATGGTTTATAAGAGAGAACGAAAGAAACAACAGTTCAAGTCAACATTCTATTTACTTCTATATTGCAGCACATCTTTCTTTTTGCACATGACATAAACAATAAAAACGGTCGTAAACATTATTGTTGTCGTAGACGTAAATTTTGCCATAAATTTAAAGGTAAATAGCATGAATAAGTAGATATAAATGAGTTGCAAAGAAGCTAGATAAGTGAGATGAAAACATATAGAAGGCTTCATATTTTGAAGTCAAAATACAGTTATTCTTATTTTAAAACTAATTCAATTTAATCACTAACTCAATTTTTCATTTCACGACAATTTAGATATGTTACATATTGATCATGAAAACTTAAACGTTCTTTATGTGAGGTGTCCTTTGAAGATATGTATGGTTAATTGAGTTAACTTATTTAAATAACAAATTATATTCTAAATGTCTGTGTCAATAGTGTGAAAGAATTTGTTTGTTTAAATTTTATAATAACTGTAATATTATTACAAGAGTTTTCAGTAGAACTAAACATATGTATATGGGGTTTAGAAAGAACTCGAATACACTAATGCAAATTTTCAAATTTGGGATACATGATGAAAGTTATCTGTAAAAGACGCAAATATCCATATCTTTTACCAATGCGTAAGTAGGTCGACTTGACTTAGGTATGCACCAGTCCCAGTGTAGAACTGGGGACTGGGTATCTATATAACTGATTTATGATTTAATCAATAGTTAGTAACTTCATTATGTTAATACATTATATTATCTAGGGATGCAACGGTGACGGTGCTTCACCGGTATATCATCACCATTTCACTGGTATTTCACGAAGCAGAGGATTTTCTGAGAAAATAACGATATTCTATAAAGGTTGACGGAAGTAAATCGGGGTCGGGGAATCCGAATCTGCAATCCATTTCTCAAAATTCCATATTGAATTGTTTCCGTTAGGATAGGATATTGTGCGAAAACAACTATGCTTTCTATACAACAGCTTCTTCCAAAATGAAACAAATTATTAAACAATGTTGAGAAACCAATTGCAGATTCAGATTCTCCGACTCCGATTTACTTCCGTCAACCTTTATAGAATATCGTTATTTTCTCAGAAAATCCTCTGCTTCGTGAAATACCGGTGAAATGGTGATGATATACCGGTGAATCACCGTCACCGTTGCATCCCTAGCTAATATAATGTATTAACATAATGAAAGTAAACTAACTATTGATTAAATCATAGATCAGTTATATAGATACCCAGTTAACTGGCACTGGTACATACCTAGTTCGTGGGTCGATTCCTGTTCTTATACGCTCCAGTCCTTTCGTAGATGTTTTCTTTTATTCTTCTTAAATTAATAAAAATAGTTGAAGAAAAGCAAGCATTTTAATTAATCTCGAGTAAAACTCAATGTGAACAAATTTTCTTAGAATACTTTATCAATGGGAAAATATCATGTTAGCTCAGTCGTCGAAATAGTTGATTAGAAAATGCTTTAATTAAATAAATTCGTTGCTTTGAACTTGGGATTGATTTTTTCGTTTATGATAGAACTGATGATAAAGAGAGAAGAGCAGAAGGAAATATTCTTCTTCGGTTGTTTTATTCTAAATATGAGAATTTTTGTTTTCCTTTAGTCTTTTAAATTGCTTCATCTATTTGCTAACTTTTTTCTGATAAAAATGTTTTTTCGTCGAGTTCAATATCATTCTTATTCATCTAGTGAATGCAGTATCGAAAAATATTTCCAAATGAACTTTCTTGCAGGCATTTCATCTTTTATTTTCAAGCACTCAGTTATTATTGTCACAGTATTGCGCGTACAATTATATTGGTGTCTATCAATAACAATTCTCGTTAGAACATTGAAATATTCAATGTTCGATTCATTTCTTAATGGCGATTAACAAAAAAAAAAAGTCAATTTATCACCTGCTAGTCTATTTTCATGAAATATTTGATTTGCTATTGTTGCACTAATAATCTATTCGGACATTGTTATCTAATTATTTGTTTGAACGTTAGTGAAATAAAAATAAAATAAATTCAGATGATAATAATAAACAAACTGTAGTTACAAAATTATGTTGACTATAAAAGTATGTCGTGTGTATTGGACAATATTCTTCGTAAAACAAGAATATTAAGTTAAACTAAAAGGTGATAATTCGCTGAAAAAAATATTGAATATTATTATTAAATCGTTTTATATATTGAATATGTCGTCATGTTTCACATTGAGACGAACACAATTGTTGCCTTCAACAATCGACAACAAAGAAGAAAAATGATCATTCTAGTAACTTACATTGACTTGGCTGTCAATTTTGCTTATCAATGATTTTTATATTGAAAATTTTTCATTAAGTACGGATAATATATTCAAATACTTTATAATTATATGTTGTATAATCTTAAAAGAAGAATTGCTTTTGTTGCTAATGAGATTTCAAATATCAAACTGATAAAAGTTAATAAAGCAGTGTAGCTTTTTTTGAAGATATAAAAAGAAAAGTTAGATTGATTTTTGTTTGTTGTTCAATGTCTCAAGTGAAAGTTATTTTATTAAAACAAATACAGTAATTTCATTAAATGTCGACGTTACTGTTTACAAATGGAAAAATCTAGTCAAATTGAAATATCATTTTGAGAAAAGTTATATTCTTATTATTATAGAAAAACTCGATGATCTCTTTCTGAAAATGAAACTCATCTAAAATGAATTATTATCAAAACACAATTGAAATATATTTTTTTCAATGAAGACGTTCAAGAAGAACAAAAAAAATGTAAAAAAAAAAAAGGAAAGAGATTATATTAAAATTATTTTCCGACAAGAATAATGTGATAATTCTGTTCAATATTGGGTACATCAACAAATTCAAGTCGTAGATAATATTGATGTTACATCTAATAAAGTATCACATCCATGACAACCTAAACAGAAAAAATTAAAATATTTCTTTTTTTCTTTAGAATTAAAATCACGTTTAATGAGATTATCAATAATAATTTTCATTAATTTATTTCCAATTAAATATGCATTATCAGTTTTAATTGTTAAATCAATAAATAATTGTATTCGAACAGGATATCAATCATAAGTCCATTGATGACATTTATTTAATTTAAAAAAATTCTAAATTAAAATAAAAGATTTTCAAATAACGAGAAAACAAAATTGATTTGTTAACTTGATCAACATTTGGATATTTCTGATCAAGTTGTGTTATCCATGTTGGTTGAATAAGTTTATCATATTTTTCACTTTCATTTATTCTTAATACAAAATGCGCATTATTTATCTTCGACATTATTAACAGAAAAACATAAATCAAAATTCTTTAATGAAATTAATAAATATCCACCAATAATTCTATAAAGATAAAAAAAACAATAAATAGAATTATTATAATTGTTGATTATCTTGCGTAGAAGTCTCAATCGAGATAATAGATTAAATAGTATATGGAAAATATTACGTATACTACACAAAATCATATTCGTATCCAACTAAAAAATTTTTTATGCATACAAAAGTAAAACTAAAAAAACGAAATATTTTTTGTGCCGATTGAAGGACAAATTTTGTCACAATGAAGATTAAAATTATTTTCAATAATGGTCAATAAGTTTGAAAGACGATGCTGCTGTATTGTGATCATATTAATAGTTAATATCTGCCTTGTTCGATGCTTAAATATATATGAATAAGATTAGTTCTTTTGGATTCAAGCTGGTTCATAGTTTCAATGGGACGATAAGTAGTTTTCTCATATCAATCTATGCAAATTTTCAGAGATTTTATTGACTTTAATGATTGGAAATAGCTGCCTTTATTTTAATATCTCAAATTCTTTTTTTTTTTATCCAGAATTAATATCGTATGAAATCTTGATTAATTGACTGTGCTGCTCATTAACTGTTCAAGTGTGAATATGCATTCCGGAATTGACTGTTCATATATTATACTCAGATAGTCAGACAACTCGGTCATGTGCTCTCTCTCCATACAAAAAATAATTATTACGTCAAACAACTGTTGCCGTCGGCCGTCAAAATAATCAAGAGAAAAAAAAAATGACTGTCTGCAACATAATATATAAGAACATTAATTAATAGGATACATCATCTCTCATCTTCATTCAACTTATGGCAATGATCAGTCTCTTCGATGAACTAGCTGATTTAGCATTAATCGAAATATTTTCTTATCTATCTTGTTCTGATATTGTTTGGTCATTTTCTAATCTCAATTCTCGTCTGACAATATTGTTAACAGAAAGAGGTTTTTATCGCCATGTTAATTTATCATCCGCTGGAAGAAATCTCTTCGCAGCAATTTTATCTATACTTCGATTAAATGAGATAGAATCACTTGTCATTGATCGTTGTGCATCACCTCTGCAACTAAAAAGATGGCCTCATTTACCACATTTAACAACATTACGATTAAAAGGTGTACGCAACTTTAGGCAGGCGTTCAAATTTATAAGAAAACATGCAAATACATTGACTCATCTTACAGTCGAATCAAGCAGTTATTTTTTTGCAGTAGGTAGCAATAGAAACGATCTTAGCCGGAACATGAGAATATGATGTACAGGAAAATCAAGAGAACTTTAAGAAAATATAAACAACATTGTTGACCAATTCTTTCTCGTATGGTGACGTATGAAACGTGGCTGTCAAAAAAAAAAATTTTAGAACTTCTATCTACAAACTGCACTAGTGTGTTCTGCACGCCAACATGTCTGAGAAAAAGATCCGTCTAAAACTTTTTGTCTTAAACTTTACTTTCAATTAAATCTATCAGTTAGATTCAACTCTGAAATAGTATTTTAACTATATAGTAATGACTATCTACAATATGAGTAAACGTATAACCTTTGATATAATAATTAACTCTTAGTTCTTTGACTACATGAATAGTATCTTACGAAAATTTTCTTCTCATATTGGACTATTTTGACACAAATTTTCTTTTTATCGAGATGTTTGGATAAACAAACGGAAGATTTTAATTCTCAATTAATATTACATACATATTCTTCTAATATTTTTTGTTTTATAAAGAATGGTATGACAAGAAAAGTGGCTTATCCATCATGGAACTTGTGTGAATTTCTGGAAAGAACTCTTTGTCATCTGCGCACTCTTCAGTCGCTTGATTTAGGAATGGAAACATCTTTTGATTTACATAAGTGGCCTTTCAAAACGATACAAGCACCGTTAATTTATCTAAAAATTACACTGGGTAGGACAAGTCTTTTGATTGATATACTGTCGACGAAACCATTATCATATACATTACAACAACTACATATAAAAATTGCAGATTTTTGTGGTGATATGTGGCTTTGTTTACGTGATAAAGATTTTTTACCTCGCATGGAATCTTTACATACATTTACCTTTGTTAAATCATTCAAACGGTATTTAAGTGAGGAATGGACATTAGTTAATGTGTTGACAACTTTTAATGTTATGCCTGTTTTACGACGAATAAATTTTTCTATTTTTATTGATGTTAATGATCTGGATCAAATGACTCATTCAGCTCTCTTTAATGATGATCGTCATATTGATGTTCATTATGCTTTTATGATTAATGATAATCGAGAACATTTTGAACTTAATCAATATGTACCGTATGGTAGTTTGTCTCATCCTCGTCAAATAGCCAGTGCAACATTTATTTCTGAATGTTGGCCAGTTGATCCAACGATCATAAATCACGATGAAATTTATGTAAGTAATCACTCTATAAATATGACAAGTTAGTTCAATGATAAAATATTCTTTCAGTCAATCGAACTAATCTTTCTTTTAGTTGGAGAAATCTAGAAATCGACAACATCTATTCTATACTTTGCCGTGGATTTTTGACGAATTTTTTCAATTATGTGTTCCAGATAGATATATTAGTGAATTACAAGTTTTTACATCGGCTTCTTCAGTTAATACAGTTGGTCCTTCACATCTTCGTAAACTCGATATATCAAATAATTTTCCATCATTGGCTACTTCTTTCCCTCACATAATGTTTTCGAACCAAGTAATTGAACTTCATTTATCACGATGTGATAGACAAATATCTGTAAATTTACCGACTATTGATCATCTTATTATTACAGACAGTCTTGATTCATTGAATAGTTGTTTTCTTTCACGAAATATTCGATCTATTCAAATAACTCTTAATCATGAACATCTTCATCTTGCAAGAAACGATTGGAGTGATTTACCGACTCTCTCGACTTTACCATTCTTGAAGTCTTTACGTATACTTTTATATGGTATGAATAATCCACCAAATGATACAAGTTGCCAAATCATTGCAGAAACAGCATCAACGATCTCGGATTTTTGCTTTTGCTGTCGACGTAAGAATTATCAAAATCGTCGTAACTTTGACTGTGCACATACTGCACAGTCTTTATTCATTATACAACTACGAAATAGCATTCTTGCTTTACTACTAAATGAAAAACCACGCCTTGTTGTTGAGAAGGATGGTTATGGACTTATCGCTTGGTTTTGATTAATAAATAAAAACGAGATTAGTTAGAATAGTTATGATCATTAGAAGAATTACTTTGACATCATTTTTTATTTTTTTGATGGGAATCAATCGGTTAAATAGAAGAAATATCAATGAATGCAAAAAGTTTAGAATGGAATAGCAAAATTATATTGCAAGAAGTATCAATTCTATACGCGGACCAACGACATATACTCACAGTTGATAAAGTTTTTATACGCACTTCCTATTAGGAAAAGTTTTCTTAATTTAATCATGTTGTGTTGAAAACTTCATATAACTAGAAATGTATCATTGTCGCCATGCTGATTGTCTGCGATACAGACACTGAAATACTAATGCATTCACCCTATCTTCGACTGATTCGAATGCTTCTCCTTAACTCTCATGTGGTGATAGGAAGTTTCCAAGGAAAGATTGCCTGAATATTTTAAAGTATAAAAACCAGACCAATTAAACGAATGATAAATTTCTAAGATTCAGTGATTGATTTTGTATGATGGTAAAAAACTAAGACTAAGATTTATGAAGCATAGTAATCTCTAAAGAAACACATTAAGTGATGTTGCAAGATTGTATAAGATCTAACTGGCCGATGAGACGTGTTATCTTTTGATAAAATCATATGAGATCGTACAATATAGCAAGATCTCATGAGAATCTTACAGTAAGACTTTATGTAGAATGTCAGAATAAATTCTCATTTGATTATTTGATCTGGAAATATTCATTCAGCTACGTCTCTCTGATGGTTGAGATAACAAAGCAAACATGCGACGATTATTACAAGATCATCGTTTCAGTGTTCTACTGCTAATCACTGTGGGTGAGTCAATATATACGTCGATGTTGACGCTGATGCATCTCTTAACGACGTCTTTTCTAAATTATCAATAACATATAGGACGCTAATTTTCTTGTATGTCTCTCTATGTTAAATGATCTTGATAAAATACATGTGAATCGCTAAACATTGTTCAATAGCATAAATATTGGCAATTTGACTGTATTATCTTTTTTTTGTTTTTCTTGGAACTATTCAAAATACATCAATTGTGGAGTTTCTTCCAAGCATCGCGAATTATTCAGATATTAGTAATCAATTCAAGCGGAATTAATGATTATTCCTAAAAAGTGAACTAATTCAGCAACGTTAAATATAAGCAGTAATGAAATTTTTTTTTAGAGTGTGTTTTCAGTCTATTGAACTCTTTGTATAGAAAGAAAGAAAACGAAGCAATTCCAATTTTCTAAGAGTATTCTTTTCAAAGGAGAGAGATCATTTGAAGGCAAAATCGTCTCTTCCAGGAAATCGTCATTTTTGCTTATCAGATAGTCGTGTTAGCTGTTAGAGGCTGTTCACTACCAAGATCAATAGGACATATACTGACCGCCGATGATAAGTATAGATCTTTTTGATCTTATCCGGATAGTAAACAATTTTTGACATGTAAAACAACTATTTTGGTAAGCAAAAATGAAGATTTATCAAAATAAATTTACAAAATTTTTCTTTAAAATTTTTTTTTCTTACCTGCTGTACTAATTCCTTCGTAAAAGTTTTTTTCTTTAAGTTCTCAAGGTCGCACTTTTCACAAAGACCTAAATCACCAGTCGGATTGCATCTTACACATATAACTTGTTGTTTAGGATCCATTGTTAGATAAGATGAAGATTTATTAGATGAAAATTTGTGAAATGTGACTATCGAACGAAAAGAAAAACACTTTATAGAATAATTCGTCTCGATGCGCAATAGAACGCAAGAGAGAGATGTATAATCTTACCATAATAGTGTTTATCGTCTTACAGAAATGTACTTGATTTTATAAAGAAATTCTTGTTAAAAGAAGTAACGTTCATCGAGAGTCGATGCACTCTTCTCCCTAGACTGATTCGATTCAGATATATAGTTGCGTTTAGATGTGAACGTGTTTTAAGTTAAATGACAAATAAATAAAAAACTTGACTTAACAGATCAGATCGGTTTCTTTTACGAAACGAATTTTTTTCGTAATGTAAAACTTAATATTTTTGTCTTAAAAAAATTTCTTACACAAATTCTGTCATATTTGTCTTATGGTTTCAATGTTGTCACTGTTATACGTTTTGTTTTTAATGCTGTTGTAAAATCTTACTTTCAATTTTAAATGGTAATTGAGTATACATTGAATACAAATTATTTTTACTCTATAGTTATACGTATCAAATTAGAGTATTTAATATGTATGATATGTGATCGTAAATAGTAGAACATTGATTTAATGATGTTATATTTTTGAAGGTTGAGTGTTTTAAAATTAAAAAGCTTGAACTTGAAATGAACTCATAGTATTAGATAGTTAAATGATTGATCCGAGCAAAAATATACGGACAGTATGCTATTTTATGTTTCATGAATATGTCTGATAATATTGTGACAGATATATTTTTATTGAATAAAAAATTATTACGGCATGCATTTTATTACATTAAAGATACTGTTGTTTTACAAGTTTTATTTTAATAATTAACATTTTTGATTATTATCAAGGATCATTTTTTGTTGTTCCATGAATGAAATATATAAGATTTTCTAAATGTTTATATAGAGATAAAATTTCGCTTGAATGAAAAATTTTTTTCGTGTATGGCTGCAAGATATGATAAATCGAAAAAATTTCTAAACTGATATTGTCGTAACGATGAACATACCAATTCATGTTGCTTTGAAATATTAGTTTGTGCAAATTATGACACTCATTTGTAATAGCGACTTTTGACTCGTTCATATTGACAAAGTCCAGAAAACAGACAATAGCGTTTTCAACATAGTGATCATTTTTGCAACTCGTTGAACAATATTGTTTAGAATTTTGGTTTTCAAAATGAATGATTAATTATTTTGTTACATAAATTACATGAATTATGAATGCTCATTTCAGTAAAATAGAACGAATGTTTATTTTAAGAGGGATAGGGAACAAAAACACAAAAGCAGTCAATATTTGATTGTGCGCCTTATAAAGGATGTACAGCTTATGCAATCATAGAAATGCGGTGAGGAAGTTGTCCGTACAAGTATTCCATCTTCAGCATATCTGTCGAAGTGGCCGTCTTGATGATTAATACAAATCCTTTTTTGACCTTGCTCGATTTCGACAAATGCACCGCCCGTTGACTGTACACGCACCACCAAATCATATTCAGGTGCTAACAGACACAAGATTTGATCGGTGCCCCTTGCTAAAAGTTCTTCGTTAGTATTCAATGGAGTTTTCATTAGTAATGTCCATAATGAATTATAATTGTATTGACTGTTAAGATTCATATTTTAAAGGATTAGCAACAATCATATTTTCGTTTTTTTCTCTGCGAAAGTTTTCTACTCTGCGTTTACCCATGTTATTTATTTTATCACATTTACACCATTTTACTGCACGTTTCTCAGTAACTCTTTTTACCAGGAATCTAAAGATTTCAGGAGAAATATATCGTAGTCAGTACAGCGAAAGTTGAAGTATAATCGACATATAAATGCTCCTCCTATTTCATTTACACTTGAACTTTTTTGTTAGGTTTTAATGGATCGCATGCCTATGTCAACTATACTTCGACTTTTGCTTTGTTGACTGCTGTATATCTTTTCTGAAATCTTTAGGTCTCATTTACCTTTTTATGTTTAAATGGTAAGGTGTCGTTACACACAATCAAATTAAAAATGTTGTCTAAGCCAAATCAATGACACCTTTCATCCCTATATATATTTTTATTTGTTTCATAATGATTTTCAAATTATTAATTATCGTGGTAGTATTTGTTTTTCTTCCATTCATTCTATTCAATTAATTTATTATAGCTAACAAATGCCACGAACCTATTCGTACAGAAAGAGAATAAGATGGTAGGGAGAAATAAAAAGAAATGGTCATCTGAATAGAAATATTATTTATACTATGTTTAGGCTCTGTGTTTGCAGTAGGTTTGAAACATGAATTGATATTTGTCGAATATTGTTTGTGACACATAGCAAACAGAATGTGAGTTTCTCTTTTTTCTTCTTCTTTCACATTTTTATAATTAGTCGAAAGTTACATTTCGTTTATAAATAACAAAGAATCATGTAATTGCGTTGTTCTTTCTTCGTTAATGCAACTTTTAAATTTTTGTATTAAATACTTCTTGTTTTAAAAGTGAGTATTTGATGGTGGAGCTCGTCGGGCCCAAAATTTTTTTGGATTCGAACCACATTCTTCATACCGACCATGAAATTTTTTTATTAAAACTTAATAATCTCTCCGGAAATCCGAAATATTTTTTTTAATTTTTGGATTATTTGTATCCAGTGACTAGAACCCCCTACACATTCCTCAAGCAATCATGACGGCGATCTTAAAAAGGTCAAATTATAGATGGTTCTTATTTCTAGAGAAGAGCTCGTCAGACTCTAATCATTGTAGAAAGTTTTCTGAGACGCAAGAGAATCGGTCATCGAAAATCGGAGAGTCATATCGAGTACAGAAAAAGACACCGAACTAACTTACCCATATAAAAAAGAGAAGATTGTTTTGAGTTAAAAATAAAAGTAAGAACTCTTCATAACCGAATACTCGTCTTCTTCATCTTTCATCTTATAATTTGAATGCTTTAACGACGCTTTCCAACTGGACTATTGCTCTTCGCTGAAAAGTTGACCTAACTCTCACTGTTTAGCATTGGTGACTCCCATTTTCGACGCGCTTTGATTTCGTATAAAATTTGTTGATGATGTTATTTGAAATTAGAGCGTTCTCTCATTCCCTCTGGAAAAATATTTTTACACATCTCGTACACAAATTCACACCAGTACTCTCCCACACTCGCACTCTTTCTCGTCTCTTCTTTAAACCAATGATGGATCGGTCGATAAAACGTTATGCTTTGCTTTTACTGGCACAGAAAGATTCCTACTCTAGCAAATAAACGAAAGGAGCTACTGCTTCACATGGTCATCCTTCAGGATAGCCGTGTGGATTCGCCCATTCATCCCTGACCTGTGCATATGCTACCTGCACGGTGTCTCTCTCCATAATGCGCTGGCGCAAATAGAATAGTATAAATCAATAAATCAAATTTCATTTTATTTCATCAAAATAAAAAGAACAAGTCAATCAATGAATCAAAATTGCATTCAATTGTCTTGTTGTTTCAAACGAATTTTCACATCAGGGGAAATTTTATTATTCTCGAGCCATAAATACTGCAGCGTCTATAAAATAAAAGAATAAGTGAATATGAGAAAGAAAGCTGCTAATACAATCTCTGTGGGATTAAAATGTGAAACACGATGTATCTGTTCTTGCTATTTGCATTAAACTTCTTTTATTCGATCTATTTTCGGACACCACTTCTTCATCATAATTCACTTAATACTCTATAGAACTACAATGAGGATATAGTTTATATATTCTAATGAGATGTTCGTGACATACAGTCTTTAATTGTATATAAAAAATCGTTGTCATGGTCTTTGATGTTCTGTGGAGGGCGCCTGTCGCCATCTATGGAGGACAGAAGCCGGTAGAAGTTCCAAACTTATACCCCTATATACTTCAGCACTCCTATTAGATCCTGTTTCACAAAATGAGTAGAAAAAGAATTCACCTTGTTATTTTTTAGTGCTTCCGCGAGACGTTCTGCCCCACTGTCTCCAATTTGACTTTTTTCAAGGTTCAGAGAGACGTGCACTTGTATGAAAAACTTCAAACGTATATGAGTCACTAATTAATTGACACCATATCATCGTTCTCTTTATATGATTTGGTCTATGGTCTGATGATACAGAGTGTTCTGTTTTCGAGTTTCGTGGGACTCAAAGTGATTGAATAAAATTTCACGAAAAATCAATTAAGTTTTTTCTAACTTTGAAAATGTTTGAACCACATTTAGCGAAAGTAACGTTCTCGATATATTGACTCAAATGCGTCATAGATAGCACTAGTTTTATAAATATCTCGAGAACGTTGCCCTTAGCCAAGTACAGTGCAAACATTATCAAAGTTAGAAAAATTAGATCAGTTTTCTATGGAATATTTATCCAATCATTTTGCGTCTCATGAAATTAGACAATTGCACATTCCGTTTCATCAAACCATAGGCGAATTGGTGATGAAAATGAATACTTGGCCAATACACAAAAAAGGAAAAAAGATGACAACAACAAAAACTCAAGTGGCAGCAGCCTAGTAAGACTTTTGCAGATCATATTTTCTCCTTGAATTTCTCCAATAACATCTCTTTGATTGTATATCGAAATTGTTCTACATTGATGAAGGAAATTTATTTGCGTTTTATCTTTTGCAGGTATCTAGTTCACCATCAACACTAAAGTCGAAGCACTCTTAGATATGAGATAATGTTGATAAAATAAATGTTGTCAATATCTCCACGATTGAAGTGAAGCGACAAATCTTTAGTGAGATTTTCTGACGAGCGATTCACGAAGCAGGTTTTCATGAAAACGAATAGAAAATCAGGTCTTGCTAGATAAAATCAAATATTGCTAAATGCGAAAAAGAATTTTCTTATTGAGTTATGTTTTTTTTGCACTCATGTCTCATAAAATGAAAAAAAAAAAAACTTCAGCTCACTGAAATAGACAGGTCAGTCTGTGGATATTAAAAGTGTTGAATTTCGCTTACGAATGAAAGCAATGTTTGATTAAAACAGTGTTTATATTCAAGATTGAATGAAGTTTTAAAAATTCAGCGATGATGCATTGTCAACGAGTGGTTTACAACGTTGAAATTTATTTCAGAAGATTTTTTTGTTACAAATAATTCAATGGCAGTCTAAAAACTTTTAAGCTGGATTAATCGTGACGATTTTTACCGAAAAGTACAAAATCAGTTCGTAAAATATCTATTGAAAATGCTCAAAAATATACCAAAAAACCAAAAATAAATCAAGAACAAAACATGCGATCATATATCAAATAGATTATGTTTCGAAGGAGAAAACTATGCAAATATTAGTGCGCATCTGATCATTTCTGCAATAGGTAGGTCTTTCTGAGAGCATATAAATATGTAATATTTTTGCTCATAGTATGAATATTTTTACTTATAAATGAAAAATTTCATTGCAATCCTTTTGATTACAAGAAACCGGTATGCTAACTTCTTAAAATCCCACCATAAGACAAAGTAGAATGGTCATAAAATATATCAAGATAAACTACTGTCCAGCTGAACATTAGTCGCATGGATGTCCACAAAGTAGAGTTGTAATCGGTAACGTTTTCTCCTTACTATTTAGTACCGGTACCGGTCTAGCCGGTCAGACCGGACCAGGCGGGCCGGTATACTAGCATGAGTCATCCTTTACTTCTCTCACCCTATAATAGTGAAATCAAATCTTTGATTAGTCAAATCTCTCTCTCTTAATCACTACAGTAATGACGTAAGAGTTTTGTTTCGCTACTACTGAGCTTGTCACTATTTATTTCCATAAGTTTTTGTCTTCGCATCCTTCAGCGAACAGAAAACTTCATAGGACAACAAATTGTATATAACAACCATCTCATACGAGCCACGACGTGCTGACACAAAGGGATGCTCAATCACAATCTTATATTTGCGTGAAATTTATACTATCCTGTAGAACGTGTTGTTTTAGGTAAATATCGAAATTTTTAACCTTCTTCGAAGTCATCCTCCGAGATATTAGGATGTTTCGAACAGTTTATCAATGAAATCTGATAAGATTTGTATAGGACTGGAACAGAAAAAAAATCAACTTTTCGATAGATTTTCTCCGAAGAAATAGATGAAATATCGCTCTAACGCTGTTTCAAAACACTATTGAACTAAGGATTGATTGAAGGTGTACACAACTTTACCGGATAAAGTAAAGTATTTAACGTTATCCTATTGGGTAAAGTAGTTAGAAAACAATATATTTCACACGTAAATGAAAAATTCGACATTTTTGAACTTTGCTTTAGCCGATAAAATAAAGTAAAGATAAAGTGACACTCCTAATGTTCATTAGAAATGGGCATTATTAATTAACTGTATATTTAATGGATTGTTCACGTTATATTCCCTTTTTTATGTCTTATGTTTATGCGAAGTATATAATATAAATAGTAGGAAATAGAAATAAATCTATTATAAATTGCAAAGCTAAATAATTATATGATTTTGTTTCGAAACATAAGTTGATATGAATGTGAGTTAATAAAATAACTCAACTGTATCATGCTGAATTTGACTTAATAGAATAGCCTGATGCATATTCTCTCACAATTTTAGTCTTCGACATTAGTAAAAACTGTTTGATTTGCCAAAAAAAAAGAACTTTTTTATCAATTTTTTGGTTAAAAACCATACAAAAATTCAAAAAAATCTAGATTGGCCCAGTAAAGAAAAAAGTTATGTCTACCGGCTGGTAAGGAATTCTCTACCGGACCGGACCGGCCGGTAACTGTTACCGGTTACAACTGTGCCACGAAGGACATAAAAGAAAAGTCGACAATTTCTCATAATCGCCGAAACATGAAGTGGATTAAATTTTTTAAGGAGTGAAAAAGCAAACTTGTTAATTACCAGTTTTGATTCCTATAATTACTAGATTCCCATGGTATGAGACCAAACGGTAAATTTCGTCGCTGAAAAGATTTCTTCTTACGAGATATTTAGACCACAATGCATGAAATATCGCTATATTTTTATTTTTTCGAGCTGAAAACTTTATTTTCAACTTAAAATTTAGCATTCATTTCATTTCATTGCAAGAATTCCAAAACATCAGATGGGACAGTGACTTATAGCGGTTAAAATGCTCCGTTTTACAGGACATTCACAAAAGTAACTGTGAAAAATCAAATTTTTATATTTTCAAGTTAAAAATTTGATTTTTTACTTTAAAGTACAAATTTATTATAGTTCTATAAATTTTTGATATGAAATTGGGCTTCAAATTTCAGCGATGAAAATGCTTTCTTTTGCAAGATATTGATATCAGAAATCAGGAAGCATCCTCGTTCTTTAATTTAAAACTATAAAATTTTCTTTTTTTATTTTGTACATAATTTCAAATAGTAGTAGAACGCCTTAAAATGAAAATAGGATGGGAGGGTTGTCACTGATGAAAGCGTTGCTTTTTAACACATTGACACAGGAAAACAAGAATACTTCTCTTTGTTTAATTTTGATATAAAAGTTTGATTTTTTTCTATTTGTTGAAATGAAAAGCCGCAAAATTGTGTGTTGTAAACAGAGATACTCATGAGGTGATAACGTTTCTTACCCCATGATCTAAATAAAATTCTAAGATTCATAGAAGGACGTAAAAATATAGACAGCAAGATTGTAGAAATCGTCTTATTGCCCTATTAGTCACATAGTACTAATGGTTGATATGGATACTCGGCAATATGTATCAATATTTTCGTATACAAAGAATCATACTTTAAAATATTGTGCAGAAGAAGAAATACGTTTAACACATGAGTTTATTCATGATGAAATTGAAGCTATTAATCATTCTCTACCACTTTCATCACTTAAAATAGTCACACAAATACAAAAAAAATCAGCGTCAATTGGTTGAACAATTCACATATGATAATATATCTGATAGTATTGAAGAATGTGATGACAATGATGACTCATTTAGACATGATCCAATCAACGAAACTGCTCATGAGGTTGCCCAATATTACTAGTTCAACTGAAAATATATAAAATATTCATTTATAAGTGTGACAATGTGTGGAAAAATAATTCGATGACGTACAACTAAACTGATCATGATGACAATCTCAGCTACTAATCATCTAAATGAATTATAGCAAAGATACAATGATCTGGTTATACATTTTTTTTATATTTTCGACATTTTTAAAGTAGGAATTGGTCGATCATACTTCTTCCAGCTAATAACAAGTAAAGAGAGGAAAAACAATTGCAATCTATTCAGTATTTTAGGATATACTAATGCAATTAATCAGAAGACAATACTAAAAATCAAAGCAGGACAACTATTATGAGAACATTTGACTATTAAATTAAAAGTAACATTTATTAACGTTCGATTATTCATTATTGAAGCAGATATGTTAATAAATAATTTAGGTTTGATTTCACTGACACGAGTGTTTTCAATACTTGACAACGAATATTGATAACATGAGACAGCCATTGCTCAGAAGAATGAACAATGAAATCCATGATTCATTATTTCTTGTCAAATGAATATTCTAATGCTAAATCAAAATCAAAATATACTTTGAGAAAAGACAAGTCAAGATCACTTTTCATTTCTTGAAACAACTCAGTTCCTTCAATAAAACACTATATTGATTAAAGTATATCACAGTAACGAATAGAAACAAATTCATTGTCATAGGTAAGATCTTTATTTGACAAGAGATCGGATTAGTATACGAACTTTTTTTGTAAGAAACGTCTATTTCAATTTTCAGATAATGTAATGGTCTTCATTGAATACAAATACTTAGAAAATATAGTTAAAATAATTCATTTCAAATAAATAAAAATATTTATTTTCTTAAGTATTATTTTCAATCAAAGATTACAAAATGTTCTAATAAAAATTTGCTCTTCTGTTGTACGGTATAGAATAGTTCATCTAGCAAATATCGGATGATTTGATAGTCAAACAAATGAATAGAAATGTAAATAATAATTGAATGTCAAATGTTAACAGTAAGACGTGATCATGGACGTTCGCAGATAGGAGGGATTGGAAGGATCGATTCCATCCTCTTGCAAGAAAAAGTTGCACTATCAATTTATAATGTTTGTATTTGTATCGACACTTTGTTATAATTAATGTCAAATATATGTATAATAGATATAATCACAAGTGTTTTCTTCTACTTTATGATTCACATATAACAGTACCAATTTAATATTTTTTCAGCAATTTTTTTTTTATTAAAAATGATAAAAAAGAACAATATTAGTAAATGTTTCAGATCGAACAAGAGATGTAAGGGTGATATGGATAAAAAATGTCTTACAACAATCAACAGTAGATAGTCTCTATAATTTCAATAAGAATAACGAGCTCAAAATTAATAATAACATAGAAGTTACAAATGCCATTTTTTCATTGCTTATTAATGAAAATTGTACTGTCGTTTTTAATGTACGTGTCAAGGTTGATGATATTGGATTATATATTTGAAATTAACTAACTATGAAGGATTTTTTTATTATTAAATCGACTGTTAATGAACCATGAATTCGACCACCCAATTATGTTTTCCCAAAAGTCGAACAAAATTGAAAAATTTGATTAGTCTGCCAACACTCATGACCAGTATATTCGGAAATGGATCAAGGAATTTATTGCTGGCATTGTGTTTTATTTTCAAAGAAAGGAAGACATCAGTATCTCGGTTAATTTGTTGACAGGCCATTAAGATCAAAATAAAATGACGCTATTTGTTATTTATCGAATTATAATAAATGTGAATATTATAAAAATTCCGTTATTTAAGCAATCAAATGCATCAATCACTATTCTTACCTAAATTCAAATATAAAATATCGATTTCTGTAGTTATTGTCGAGCGTTCATTTTCTATCATGGAGCTAATTAAAATTTATTAACCCAATTGGACAGGTGATGAAAGACTTAGTAGTTTGACTAATGATAGTAGCCATAAAAACATCCCTCAACAACTAGATATCAAAAAAATTTCTCGAATCAAAACCTCGGTTAACTTTTTACAGATTAAGTTAATTAGGTCTTTGTTTAATTATACATATTCTTCTTTTCATTTTTCATTGTACAGAATAGTTATCAAATATGAATGAAAATAATTAGTACCATACGTATCGTACACGAGCAAAAGTTTCATTAAAACTAAATAGTACAATATTAATTCTCCACCACGCAGTCAAATATCCTGTCAACGTGACTTCTATTTAGTTTATGCCACTGGTCACCAAGAGTTGAGTTGTTTATGTATATATTAATTACTCGTTATTACTTTGTTTTTTTTTTTTAATACGGTATTTAATAAAATTAAAAATATTCAGTTAATTACTATCATAATGTAATATGATGATTAATGTCATGCATCTATATATATATATATATATATATGAACTCACAAGAAAAAAACGAAGGAAAGAATAAATTAAGAACGACAGCAAAAAGACCACTTCACGATTGTTAGAATAAATTAATTTGATGGGTCTCTCGCTTTTTTTCTCTGTTGACAAAGAGTAATGGCGTCTTATTACGCCATTTCCGTTCCGTTATGAATCGATCAAATACATTACTCAATACCAGAAGAAGAAACTAATTTGCGTGACATTTTTTTTCTTTTCTCATGGCGTCTTCAATTCGATTTTTTAGATCTGTCATCATCATAATCAAACAATCGATAAGATAAAAACAAAAGGAAACAAGTTTTTCTTTTCTTCAATAACATTGAGAATAAAAAAAACTACACTTTAAAAGTAGGCGACGAAAGGATTAGGTCATATTTACTATTGATTATTCAACTACTTGAATGATTAATCATAATGCATTATTTTTTCCTGTCATAGTTCATATAGATATTTCCGGATTCTTCTTTCTTTCTCTTTTTCTTTTTTTGAATTTTAAACTTAACACTACATCCTATTACTTGAAAAGTATATGCGATTGTGATTCTAATCCATATGAGATCTGATTATTGGACAAAATGTACATATATGGTTGATGATCGACACTGATGGAATTATTTTTTTTATTCTCCTTATTCTTTATATATATATATATATAGAATTCTCTTGTTCTTCTCTGTGTGTCGAAGTTCAAAAAATAAATAGACCGAAGAATAATGAACGCAAACGAACGAGAGCAAGAGGCGAGACAAAAAGAGAGAGAGAGAAGAGAAGAGAAAAAAAAATCATTGAATGAGTAGGCAAACGCATTCACCATCGTCTCACACTTTGGAAAAATCGCGATCGATATACATTGTGCAGTAGCTAATTTGGAACGTTTGATCTTTATCAAAGCATATCTTTACAAGACATTTATATTTAAATATGATTCTATTTATTGTGAAAATTCTTTTTCTTCATATTATCTGCTCAAGAACACAAGATATAACTAATATTCGATATGATTCTTTATTATCAGCTCAGTGTAAAGCTCGATGTTTATATGAATATCGAAATTATCAACAACAACAACAGCGAACATTATCATCGATGTTGATTAATCGAAAAACAAAACGACTATTGGTAAGTTCAAAATTAGTTTTTTCTTTTCTTTTTATCTTGTTAAATTAAGCCTAAAGGTGTTTACATTCACTTTGTAAATTAATCCATTTGACAAACAAAAACTAAATTTTGATTTGTTTGAGTATATACAGGAAAAACAAAAGTAAGGTGTCATACAATACAGGTGCTTCCGATTCTCATCTATTCTAGACAATGTTTTTATTATCTTTTCTATAGAATAAATGAGGTGTCTATATAGTCATTTAATACAATGACAAAATATGTTTTTACATTTGCTTTTCATTTTAATGATGTTGATTTTAAAATAATGATGATTCTTTTTTTTTTTTTTAGACAACAAATGTATTGAGATTACCATGGCGATCGATCTGGGAGCGTTGTCCACGCCTCATCACATGTAGTTCGGTAAGTAAATTGACCGTATGTGGGAGAGAGATAGAGAAGGAGGAGGAGGAGGAGGTAAGGGGCTAGATTGTCTCGTATGATAACCAATGTATATGTATGCAGGCACAACTAGTGAATGTCCAATGTCTACCTAATTCAATTAGAAAGATTCTTACTGATCGACAAACCATTGACTATTGACCAGTTGGAAATCAGATCATTCTTTCTCATTAATATGTTAACAAGCTCATTTCTTTTCTTTTTCTTTAGTGTCTTCTCCCATGTGACTTAGATCCGCCACTTCTATTATCCAATAAACAAAGTTGTCAAGCAATCTGTTCTGCAGTAAGTTATTTTTATATTTTTCTTTTCAAGTCTGACCTTCATATGTATGGAACTCATTATATCAATATTAAATTCATTCTGATAAACGAATCATACTGATAATAAATATATGTTTATTTACAAAAGAAAAGAATAGCATGGAAGTAATTCTTTTTTTTTTTTTCTTTTCTAGTTAAAAATTGTAGAATGTGAACAAAGTTGTATATTTATTCAAAGTCTTTATCAACAGCAAGCTAATTGTTTGACAGGTAATTGTCACTTATGCTCATCGTCAAATGATTGTTCGAGTAAGTTTGAATCGATTTATTTCATCATTAAAATTAATGATTCAATACATTAGAAAAAATTCCTCAGCCATATAATGTTACAGCTATAGAACGAAAAAGTCGACGAACAGTTCGATTAAAATGGAATTCTCATCATATGATAAATATGGAACCAATTTTTTATGTTATTGAAGCACAATGGATATTACCACAAACTGATGTTAATCAATATGAACTTGTTTCAAAATGGGGTTTTGTTAAAGAAGAAGTTTCACATGCAAAAGCAATTATAAGAAATATTCAACGTGATAATCGATGGTATAAATTTCGTGTTGCTGCTGTTACAAGATATGGATATTCGCCATTTTCAATATCAACGAAACCTTTTCGTTTAAGTAAGTTTTTATAGAAAAAGAAAATATTCAAAAACAAAAATTGTTTTTTAATATTTTTTCTTCTAGCAAATCAATCTCATACATTATCATCAATGATAGATCCACCAAGAAATTTTTCAATAAAAGAATATCAATTAAATTCAAATACTATGAATATTACTCTTATTTGGCTAAAACCAGATTTTCCAGTACATGGATATCAGGTGTGGTAAAATAATTTCTTGATTAATTGAAGCTAAATATCTGTATTTTCATAACTGATATTGCTAATTATACATAATATGTAGGCATAAGAGATGTTATTTATGTTTTAATGTCATAGTACGAAAACAAAATAAACTAATATATTTGATAGTATTCGACACAAACTAAACTCAAATAACATGATAATCTCTTTTTACTTTGCTAATGTTTTTTTCTTCATAAAATGCATAAATTTCTTATTAATATTTTCTTTTCCTTTTTATTTATCAGATCTCTTGGAAATCAGAGAATGATCAATCATCACTTGCAAATAGCATTGATATATCATCATCATTATCTTCATTGGAATTTACCATTCCATTTCTTTCTATAGACAACTCCTATCTTTTTAAAGTATGCACTCATTCTGTCTGACAAAGTCAAGTATCCACTTATTATTTCCTTGTATAGATTCGTTCAATAATCATATCCGAAGGCAATCATATTCAAATGAGTTTACCAATAATAATCCATTTTAATTCCGAAGAAGAATTTTTTCCAATAAAAAATCTTCAAATATCAAAATCTTATTTTACAAATGGATTAATTAAAACAAATATATCATGGACTAAAAATAATGATTCAAGAATAAAACAATATGATATATATTGGATTGAAAATAAATGTTATTCAGATATTTATTCATGTTGCTATAGACGTGATGCAGTTACAATACAAAATTATTTTCAATTATATGATTTACGTTTTAATTGTACATATTTAGTTAATATAAATGCAATTGGATTAAAAATTAAGAAATCTTTTCAATTTTATTTTAATGTTAGTTCATGTGAATTAACAGATGTTTATGGGTCAATTCGTCCACTATGTCATACAGATCGAAAGACAAGTAAAATTTTCTTATATTTTCCTTAAATCGATCATTTAAAATTTCTTTTTTTAAGTTGACATCTTTTCATCATTACCGCCACTCGATCTTATTGTTAGAAGAAATGGATCAGGTTTTAATTTGTTTTGGCAAAATATTCATTCAACCGGTAAGGAATCTTTTTTTCCTGAGTAAATCAATTAACCATCATTTATATTTGATTCATTAGTTAATAATGTGTTCTATCGATTGCGTATTGAAAAATTACCAAATTATGTCGAAATTGTTTCGGTTGAATTTCCTCATGTAAGAATTTCTTTATCTTGTTTCTATAGATGAAGATTAAATCGATTTATTATTTAGACAATTATGAATTACTTTATACCTTATTCAAAAGACGAAGATGATCGATATCTTAATGTAACATTAAGTTTAATTGATAAAATTTCTATACGACAGCAACAATCGATATTAATTAATGAAAAAAAAGACGAATACTTTTATTCACAATATAAGATAAGTTCATCATCAAGGATTATTTACTTCAGATTTTTTCTTGTATTTGTTTGGTTAACTTCAGTAATGATTATAAAATAAGAACAAATGCGAAGCACATATGTTCATTTACCGTCCGTATTCTAGTGCATCGCAGTACCCGGTTCTTATTTTAATCATAAACAAATCATCATTGTCGGCTTTTTTCTCTGTAATTTCAATTGTCATTTGTAGGATTGTTTTTTTTTTTTTATAGAAATATATATTTATTTTTTTTTTGCATACATTGAATTAATTGTTATATGATTGAAAACAGATTATCATTTTAATTTAACCATCTGATTTTATTTGATACAGGAAAGTCTAGAAGCGATAGTCTTCGTTTGCATAGAATTTCTGAATAAAAATCTACTTGTACTTAAGAATTTTTTTTGTTTTGAAGAAAAAGTTCTCCTTTTTAATTCTTTGACAGTTACATGTAATGTGCGATAAAATTTGTATGATGAAGTTGTTTTTTGTTTAATCTCGAATGATTACAAAAGCTATTGTACGATATCAATAAATATATATATTACCTGTTTGTGCATGAATAAATGAAGCGAGAAATTGATCTCATACATTCGAACAACAGTAATCAATCAATAGAACTAATGTTTATTTTGTGAAATAGAAACGGGAAGTATAAAATGATCGAATTACTAAATGCAAAAATCTAATTAATGTTCTACTCATTTCAACTAATAGATAACTATGTATTAAAATACATATTCTTTCTTTCTTTCTTTCTTTCTATCTCTATATCAACAAGCAGTGCATTTAACGTGATTGCTAATGAGTCAAATGATAATCGACTCTCTCGTTATTTGTACTAATGTATTATAAACGATAGCAATGAAAACTCGTTCTTCAATGGAATAATGTTTACACAAGTATTTTCGGTTTTTGTTGCAAAAGAAAAGTGTTGTACCAATTTCATTTTTTACAATTTTGACAAATAATATATGATGGATGATAGTGGTTATTTTCAAAAATAGTTAAACTCATAAATCATTATTTATGAATATTTTTGAACAAAGATATGATCGAACATACTTACTTCACTACTAATAATTTTATTTTTGTATATTGTTCTAGAGATCTCAATGGGCTGGGCTAGATCGAGGAAAACACATGAATAAGCAAGCATACATCGACTACTAGTAGTTGATTTATGCTCAAATATTTGATAACATATTGTACAACTTGTAAAATCTTCAATTCTCTCGAATTCACCAAGATTTTCTGATTTTTTACTTGGAAACCAAAACAACAATTCACCATAAAGATGTGTCTGCTTTTTCATTTTTAATAACAGCATCTGTCAATGATTGTTGTTTCAAAAGGCATGCAATTCATTCAGATGTATACTGTTTTGTTTGTGATGACCAATCAATGAGGTTATTTGAAGATAAAATTTTAACGAAAATTGATGATTGAGAAAATTTATTAAGAATAGAGCTATCATTGGAATAGGAAGAAAGCTTTTTTAAGGTGAGGACAATTTTATCTTTGTGTTTATTTTGCTTTGTATATTTACTGTTCATTGCAGAAATGTTTTAGTCTATGGAAGAATTCCTGTGAGATTTTTGGAAAAAAATTTAGTGAAAATACGCAACTTCATTTGACAAATTTATATGTTATTTTAGATTTGGTTCATAGCGCCCAGAGCATGGTTTTCTATTCAAAAAAATTTCGACTCATGGAATGGACTGAGCCGAGTTTAACTCATCCTATTGAGACTTACGTTCTCTGCATTCATTTCTGTATTTTACATGACGGCTTTCACATAAAAAAACATTCCTTCGATATGTTGATTATCTGATTTATTGCATTGAGAATATACAAAAAAAGTTAGATGATAAAATCGTCTTTATCGTTAAAACTCATAGATTAATAGAAAAATAAAGGAGACAAAAAACTTATTTTCATCTATAGAGGATCCAGCAATAAATTCCTTATAACAGTCGCAAAATTTTTAACTAACGATGGAAGGTCTCCAATTGATAAATTGCTTTTGACTCAAGATTATGTATATTATGTAGACCTGCATGAGCTATAAATACTTTGAAAAGAATTCATGTTCTTAGCTATTTGCTGATGAGATGCTGCACTTTTACTGTTTTTTTTTAAAAGAATCCAATAGCCAAAAAAACATTGATTGTCGAATGTTGACGTTAAACCTTGCATTGAAACAGACCTGAACAAGAATATTTTATTGCGAAAGTTTCAAGTCTTTTGATTTACTTCTATTCTGAAATAGGAACCTGAAATCTGTCGATTTATATGAGCAATTTACAAGACACGCTATTACCATGGATGTATCTTAGGATAGTAATGGCCATAAGATCTGAAGTATTCACGCAAAACTATTTCCGTCAAGATCTGTCTCTATACAAAGTTTCAAGTCGAAATTTGAAAACCAGCTTTTCTGGACCATGGTATTCATTTAAAAAATATTGTAAAAGTGAAGCATCTCTGCATCAGTAGGCTAATAATACGAACTATTATCTGGATATTCATTGCTTATTTGAGTCTACATGTTATGCATAGTCTCGACACAAAAGCGATTCATCTATTGGAGGACTTCCCTCGTAAAAATATTGCTATAGTCTATATAATATGAAGAAAAACAAGCATCGAATTTTTTATACTTAGATGAATTTAATCTTCACGCATGAGACACTATTCTTCTCAATATCGCAGCAAGTAAAACATAATTGATGAAATTTTCTATTTGCCTAAATAATTGACTATGTTTCTATAACGCTCTAATATCGAACACTAGATTGATTTTATTGATTTTCATCTTAGTTAGATTCTATGTAATATACCATTTGGGTATAATTGTTTTAAAAATGTTATACAAAAGTGCATTGGTTCTATAAGATGATTTCTCGATTGTTCTGTTTTGAGTGATAGACTTATAAAAAAGATCACCAGCTAATATTTTATTATAACTAGAACAATCAAAACAGTTGAAGTTTGTGTTGTAATTATTGGATTAATTCAATTATATTTTGTATTTAAAATAAAAAATTACGGAGACGGAAAATAAGATTAACATACGAACAATATATTTTTCTTGTGATAGATGCTTGAAAAATTAAGATTTTAGTTTTAGAAAATGTTCTACCATTATCGATTTTAATATTTTGATTTTGAGATATTTACAGAAGTAAGAGTACTCTAGAATATATGTATGCATAACATCAGGTTCTGTTACCATCTCTGTTACAAAAAAATTCCATCTCTTTCAGTTTATTTTATTATTCAGAAAAATGGAGATATAAAAATTTCAATATAACAGTAACAAGCATTTCATAATTGTATCTTGAAAATTTTTGTCAGACAATTCTTAAAATTTGAGATGATTACAAGTTTTCACGATCATATAAAATATTTAAAGCTTTGGTTAAGATTTTATATTTTAGTTTTTAAATATTTTCGACCGTCTAAAATAATTTTAAAAAATAAATGCTTAATAGATATGATATTCGTGCAAAAAAGAGAAAAAGTCTTTCAATAATTGTTCATTGTGATAATTATAATGATTTTGTTGTTGCTTTGTCCTTAACAGCATTTTTTAGTACACTAAGTGATGGTTGAAATACTTCGAGGTGAATTTGAGATGGTAGATGATTACATTCAGCTAAATAATCTTCAATGGTATTCATAAATGGTACTGAACCACATATATATACGTGTGTATCCGGTGTTAAAAACTTTTGTAAATCATCTTTTCCGAATTTTTCATCTTGACAAAATAAATGATATTGATTTTCGGAAAGAATCGATTTCAATTCATTAGTAAAAGCTGCATGTTCTGTTGTTAATGCACAATGAATTAATTTTGTATCTTTTAATTTATTTTGTTTTTGTAATTCTAAAATCATCGATGAAAGAACAGTTATACCAATTCCACCAGCAACAAATAAATGATGTTTAGCATCTTCAATTAATGCAAATGTACCAGCTGGAAAACTTGTTAAAATTGTATCACCTTCTTTATAATTATCTATTATTTCATTAGAAACAATACCTTTTGGTTCATGATCAATTTCATCTTTAATAGCAACACGATAAGTTTTACCATCGAATGGTTCAAGAAGACTATAATGTCGATTATGAAACGAACCATCTTTTTGAATGCGAAGTGTAATATATTGTCCGGGATGATAATTATGCATTTTTCCACCATCACGACGTTCCAATGTAAGAGCAACAATAGGTCCGCTTGCAACATTTTCTTTTTTGATAATTGTTAATGGAACAAAACCTTTATCACCTTCATCTGGACCAAGTTCATCGTATAATTGTTGTTCTAAATCAATGAAGATTTTGGCAATAATATTATATGCAGCTTCCCATGCATCTAAAATTTCTTGTGTTCCTTTGTCACCTAAAAATTCTTTTATTGCAAGAAGTAAATATTTTCCAACAATAGGATAATGTTCTGGTAAAACAGTTAAAGCACGATGTTTATGAGCAATAAGTTTAACTTGTGGTGTAAGGACATCCAAATGATCGATATTTTCAGCAGCAAAATAAATTGTATTAGCTAATGCTAATGGTTGGGTACCAACCTTCTGATTAGTTTGATTAAATAAATTTAATAACTCTGGGTGAGCTGCAAACATATGTTTATAAAAAATTGAAGTTATTTCTTTGCCATTTTCTTTCAAGATCGGTGCTGTTGATCTTACAATATTTTTTTGTTGTTCTGTTATAGACATTTTAGAAGTCTAAATATAAAGTATGAAATATCATCATTAATTATTTCAAATATTTAACAGAAATTACTGAAAGTAGAAGAGAAAATCAAAAGAATCATTCTCAGAGTCTCAAATTACTTAGATGATCACTATGCACAATGATCTTTTACACAATTATTAGTGTACAAAAAAACACTCTAAAAGTTTTTTCGTCTGAACTCCTAAAAGTCTTGATTTGAATATAATCATTCTATCATAATGCTTAGACACTTTTAAGGATTATGTGTAGAATATCAGTCTTTTAACTCTTGTGCATTGTTGCATTTTTTATCTCTTTCAGACCACTCATATATCATTTTCATTATAACTTTTAAGTTCTCACACGGACAATTTCGAACTATGATTATATATGATCGGAAAATTGGCTTAACCTACAAGAAAAGCCATGAATGTTTGGCGCAAGCATGGAAGGATCAAGCACCTTCAGACTAGACAGCTCTCCATTGATTTTATCATTTTTCAATAGTGTAATTAAAGTATTGACGATGCGCTACTGGTTCAAGTCGTCCTTGAATAGCTTTCAATGAGGAAAAAATTGATTCTATCCGAGCAACAATAGAAAATGATCCTTATTCAACATACGAACAGATAGAAGGTATTCTGAGCATTCGACATAATTACTGGTGCTAAATCATAGATGTTGTATCTTTAATATCCCAAAACAAATGTACAGTCAAACAGATGATGATGACTTTCTTCATGAAATCTGATTTAATCAAGTTTATACCACTAGACCCTGATGAGACAATAAATACTAGTTAGTATGTCAATATCTGCCTATCACAAGTCTTCAAAACAATATCCAAATAGAGACCAAGGATTGACCTTCAAGATCTGATTTATCATGGTCATATTGCAAGGCCTCATAGAGTCTAAACTACTAACGAATTTTTAGCGAAAACGACGTGAAACTATATCCGAATTCATCATTTTCTCCACATCTAAATCTGTATGTCTTTTTCTTGTTTTCGAAACTCAAAAATTAAATACTTTTAATTCAATTCGACAACGACACTGCAATGCTAGATGCGTTAGAACAAACCATCAACGGCTTAATAAAATGTCATTTCAAAAATTGCTTCAATAACTGGCTTATTCGAATGCGCATATGCGTTGAAGCTCAAGGACAGTACTTTAACAAGTTGCAATAAAACTCATCTTTGATTATTCTGTAGAAGGACTGACAAAAAAAAACTTTTAAAATGCACTCTGTATATTTATTTGATAGTTAGAGAAAATTTTCGACATCACACATAGAAATAGTACTGATTTAAATTATGCAAATGGCATTTTTATTAAAAAGTGAATCAACGAGATAAAAAATATTTAGTCTTTGTTTGAGTAATTATTTGAATACTGATTCAAAAGCTATTATTTTCTAATCCTAGAACACAATTAATCTTCCTATATTATAGAGTACTATTAAACAAATTTTAGTATACTATTTCGACATATTTATATTAATACATATTTTCTTTAAAAAAAATTGATAGAGAACAATACTCACAAATAAATATATACGATTTAATTTTTTTTATTACTTTGTTCTTGTTGTATGTAACAAAATTTTGTAACTCTATTCTAACAGATTTGTCTTCTACGTGAAAACGTCTGATTTACAGCAATATTATCTTATGAAAGAAAGAAAGCTCGAATGAAAAGAAAAACGTCAACAACAACAGTATGAATGCATGTAAAAAAAAGCCAAGGACAAAAGCAAATATGTCGCACAAAATATAAAAAATATGAATACAGTTAACGCATGAATAAATTATATGTTGTGTTGAAGTACAGTATCGTAATTTTTTTTAATGTCATACAAGGCCCATTTCATCATTGAAATTATATATAATGTAAAATCTACATCTAATACACCGGTTGTACACTCAGAAAAAAAAATATTATAATAGGTCAATAAGGACAAAAACCTTAAACGCTTTATGACTCATTTCTTTTTTGTTTCTTATCATAGCTTCTAGTGGATACTCTTGGTTAAATAATGACCAATCAGCCATCAAATCATGCTGTTAAAGCAGAATGGCAAAAATACTTTTCTTTCATCCACATGATTAATTATAAACAGTAGTGCTTCAAGGATATTATTTTTCGTTGAGTAGTCTACTTTAAAGTACAGGTATGCCCATAAAGTTATCGAGTTGATAAATACGATTTGCACTTTCTATGGAATCACACCTTGAACATCGGCGGCGAAATATTAAGATATTTTATTCATTCAACTATAATTCTAGTTATCTAATTCACATTAGATAATTAATTCCTCTTACTGTCTTTTTATTTAGTATTCTGATATATATAGTTAAGATTGAAAACGTGTTTTGTAATCCTGTAATAAATGATATCATGAATATATAATGGGAAAAGCTTGTTTTTCTTGTTAATATGATTTACTTGTATTTCGAAGTTTAATTGATAATATTGATGTGTTCAGACTGTTACACTGTATATAAACATTGATAAGCTAATTATTTTTATTCTGTTCAATAGAGTATGTATTTCGAGAACTTTTTTTTTTAGTTTGGGGTAGTGTCCTGCAACCGGCTTGGATACCAGACCGCGACCCGACTATGAAATGAGATCTCAACGGTTCAAAACACTTTTAATTTTTCAAATGACTAATTTATATAAAAGTATAGGAGTGGAAACCTGAGCAATTTATTGTATTTCAGGATAGATCAGAAAAGCGGGAAATAGTATTGTTGTACTAAGAGGATTCGTTTTTTAATGAAAACTCATCTACAGATGATGATAAATTATATGATAAAATACAGTAAAACCTCCCTTAGATGGGCACCAATGGGACTTTTTCAAATCGCCCACCTTACGGAGATGCCCGTCTTATAGAGTTTACATATATCGACCACTTATACGTTATTCACTAGTTAAACCATAAACAACAGTCCTACTTACATGTTTTCGATTCGCTCTTAGTATTCTGATTGTATTAAAATTGCACTTTTGTTAATTAGAATCTTTTTTCAACTAAGTTTATTTTCTATTGTCTTATTTACAATGAAGATTTTTGAAAATATTCTGTGATTGAGGTTTGCTTTTTATTGTTTCCATCAATGTAAATGTCGACTAGTTTTGATTTTAGAGCAGCGACGAATCGATGAAGTTCTAGTTCACGAGTACAGGCGAGTATTTGCAATTTTTCATCAAGTGAAAGATAATGACATGATGTCATTTTTCAATGATTTTGAAAGAAAACAACAAATGACACGACTATTTATACTCTTTTTTATCACTGACGAGACAATTAGAACTGTAGAGATGAGTTATTTTGTTTGTTACGTCGGACGGAACTTCTCTCTCTCACCTATTCACAGAACAACAAAGAGCGACGAAACGAAAAAGAACAGTGTAATAATTGGTATATTCACTGTATATGCCCATACAAGAGAGGCTCAATTGTACAGTACGTCGTAAAAAATAGTGCCCACTTTGAGAGGTGGGAGGTGCCCTTGTTATAGAGGCTCATTTCCAGCAAAAAATGGTCGGTCGTTCCGTCAAGTGCCCATATTAGCGAGATGCCCTTGTTATAGAGGTGCCCATTTATGGAGGTTTTACTGTAATTGAATACATGGAAAGAATAAATGTGGAAACCTCGGACTTAAGTCCGAGAGTTATGTGTACTTCAAAAAGTGAATGAGACAAATCAGTCGTCCTAGAATGTGTGGATATACAAATTAGCTTGGCAAACCTTTTCTATAAACACTTGAATTCTATTAACTACTGCTCAACCAATAGGATTTGGGGGCGAATACAGCTCAGATTTGAACTCTTCGCCTTAATTTACCCTCAGAAAATCGTTTTTTCTATAACTTGATTTCGATTGGTCAGTGCTTAACCAATAGGGCTTCGAAACAAGTGGAGTACAGATTCGAGTTCTCCACCCCAGAAAACCTTTAAGCATCACCTCTTATCGGAAGATAGTGCTCTAATTGTGGATCAGTTAGNATAAAGAGAGGATAATAGATAGTTACCTGTAGAAGAACATGAAGAAAAAACAATAGAAATATTTATATTTACAAGAAATAGACGAAAAAAGTTGAATAATAGGTCAAAAACAAACGAAAACTCTGTTCATAGATGACTTTGTCTTTCTTACTTTGATTTTCATTTCATACATCTTTGATTCCTTGATTATATAGCGTGATAGAACTAACGTAAACATTAGTCTGGGTCATAGTGTTTCTCTTTGAGGCATTTTATAATTTAATATTTAAATATTAATTAAATAAGAAAATAATGTGTTAATCACAATTTAATAATATAAAATCCTATTTTATATTTTATTTCTTAAATAGCTAATAATCAGAGTCAAACACCACCTATTCAATCACCAGTAAGTGATCAATCTCATCCAGGAACAGCTCTTGATCCTGATGAACAGCAGTTATTGGACGCTATTCATGCACATCCAAATAAGCGTGATCTTGTGCTTAATCTTCTTCGGCAAATGAATGAACCATCATTTCCATCTTCTATGGAGACTCATTCGAATTCAAATTATCTTAATCAACAACAAAACCGAACAGAAACACCAACTTATTCAAATTCATACCGACCACATCCAAATATGGATCAATGATGCATTTTGACCTATTATTCAACTTTTTTCGTCTATTTCTTGTAAATATAAATATTTCTATTGTTTTTTCTTCATGTTCTTCTACAGGTAACTATCTATTATCCTCTCTTTATTTTAAATAATAACTCAGTCTTGGTTACCGGTGTATCACTATTTCAATTGAAAAAAAAAGAAGAAACAAAAAAAAACTGAATTATTAATCGACATTCTTAGATCTATTTTTCTCAGATTCCTTTTTTGTTTAATCAATCGATTCATAGATTTATTTGTCGAATTTTTCTAAATAAAAATTCCTTCTACACGCCTAAATCTAAACAATTTAGATAAAAATTACACGAAATAAATTTCGAGTCTATAGTCAAGTAAGATTCTTTTGTACGCACTAAACAGAAACATTTCAATTCGATTGTCATGTCCATTTTCATTCTCACTAAAAACTTGTTAATAATAATCATAAAAATAAACCAACAATGAGTACGTCGAATTTCTTGAAATGTGATAAAATTGTTATAAATTCATATGTATTTTGATTTGACAAATTTTCTCGAATATTTATAGAAAAGATTATTATCGACACTTCAAAATAAAGATAATAATTCAAAAAAAAAAATAGATCTAATAATGTCGAATGACCCATCCCTGCACCATTCATTTAACTAAAAGTACACGTTATCCTACACCCTTTGTATTATTACTTTAAGTTCATAATCAATAACTGTTGTTTTCTTGTTGTTGATGTTGTTGTTTTTACTTGTTTATTTTGTCTACTTCCTCTTTCAATTATGAGTTCGTTTCGTTTTTTTTTTTCTTTTGAAATAATTATTGTTTTCTTTTTGGTTCATAGACATTCACATTTGTTTTCAATGTGTGTGTTCGTTTATTTTTGATTGATTCAAATGATCAAACTGATTTTTGTTCCTTTCTTTATTTTTCTCTTCTGATCAAGTTGAAAATTTCGAACAATGTGAATAAAAAGTTTCAACTTTAGGCGCACTATTATTTTCTGAATGTTTTTCTTTTTTTTTTGATTTAATATGAGCATAAAATCTACTGATGATACATTAAGTAGATTATCCTCAATTACTATTGATCATGATACATTTAAAAATGTGAAAGAAATAGATAAGAATGATAAATTATCAAATAAAAAGAATTATCTATATCAAAGTCTTACATCATACGAACCGATAAATAATCATCAATCACCTATTGAACAACAAGATTTTCGATCACGTCAAACACTTATTTCAATTTTAATTGCTTTACTTTTTTTTACTAGTATGACAATTATTATGTATCAGATTTTGAAATACTTTATTCATGAAAATATTTCAAAAAGGATCAAACCAAATTGTAAGAATGCAAATGATACATGTACTAAATAAAGAAAAATAATATTTCAATAAACATTTATTCGATAATTATTCATTATCAAAACTTAATAGAATGAATGAATTCCTCTTGTATGATATATTAATTCAGAAAATCTTTAGAGAAAAAAAAAATTCTACTGAAAGACTCTCTAGATCAGATTGTCCTGACTTAATTTCCGATCGAATAATAGCTTACTTCATTATTCGATGTGCTTGATAAACAGAATATATTTAATGAAAAATATCGAGCAATCATCCTTCAGATGTCACTACAAATGTTTACTGACATCTTTCTTTTTCTTTCCTCCTTTTTCTTTTCTCCATAACTTTCAACATTCAACAATAGTTGGAACGGGTTCACGTATCGGTCATACTTGTCCTGCTTAGTCCTCAATTGTGAGTACGAAGATATCGTCTCTTTTTTTCTCTCTCTCTCTCTCTCTCTCTCTCTTTGTTTCTCTTTTTCAAATTAAAATAAAACACGTGATGTCGTCGTCAACAGCTACTGATGCTGTATCTGAAAACCTAACTTTATGTTCCGTCGATCAATGTGCAACACCATTTGATGTTCATTGTTTTCATTGTCGTGCTAATATGTGTTCACATCATTATTTTGAACATAAACAACAACAATTAGCTAATGAAAATGATGATGCTATGGATGATCTTTTACAACTTGCTTCATCAAAATGTTTTTGTATAAGTAATGGTGGATATTCAACATCAAAACATCGTCGTTCATTTTCAAATCCATTTGTATCATCTTCTTATTTACTTAAAAAAATGCGACAACAAGCTGCACGTCGACCTGATAGTATAAAACCAACTGTAACAACAAAAACAACAGCTATTAAATTTTATAATTTAAGAAAACGACCTGGTAAACGACAACGAAAATTAGTTGCAACTAAAACAACAACAGTTACAACAACTACAGTTAAACTTTGTGGAACTGTTCTTAAAACACGACTTCGAAATAATAAACTATGTAATCGAAAATTGCCATGTCCATATCATACTGTGGAGTGAATATGACTTTTGTATACATTTTTCGTTTTCGTTTCTTCAAAGTCATTCTTTCTTTTAGTGTGATGTTTAACTTTAGTTTATATTATTTGTTGCTTTTCAAAAATATGAAAATACACTATGAGTTTGTATTAATTCAGATGAACGAATTTTACTGATTTATATTGTTAACAACAAAAACTATAAGCAATTTTGGAAACTTTTTCCAACCAAAAACAAAGTATTGTGAGAAAAAAATCTGTTGCTTTGATTAAATTTAAATTTAAATCGGGTTTTAAAATTTTATCGAGTTAAACATATTTATGTTTAGTCAATAGAGAAGAGAAGATTTTTCGGATCTAATAGAACTGATTTGATTTATTTCAAAACTTCATAATGATTTTCAATATATTTCATTTATTTTAAGTAAGGATAAGAAAAAAATGATAGCTGTCAGCAAAAACTCAAAACATTTTTTTTGTGCAAATATTGTCGAGAAAAGTTCATGTCGTCTCGTATTGAGTTCGGAATACTAATGGGTGGAGTCGAGTTGATCCTTATGAAGTTGGTGGCTACTGTAACGAGTACTAAGTATCTATGCTCTCAAAAATAGGTATTCGTCTTGCCGGAGTTTTAAATCGCTTCTGCGGAAAGAAAAATCTGGATAAAACATTAGTGCAGATTGAATGGGGCAATATTATTTTATTTTTTGGGTCATTTCGATACATTTTTAAAAAGTCATTCGGCGGATAATTTTTCGCTCTACAGAAGTGTTTCGTTTGTCTTTCAAATAAATTACTCTTGTTGGGACCAAATTTAAGGGAGTACTTCTCATAATACATTTTCCACTTCGGTCAATTTGGACTATAATTTTCAGAAATGAGTGGTCCTAATGAAAAACGCTTCTGGTGAAAACTTCAGCTCGATGTGTCAAACTAGAATGAACTTATGGTTTATTTGTAATTTATTTATGGCATTGAGAATCATCTTCATAACTAGGTCATTCAAAAAAGTACAGAACTCGGGGTGCTTTCAAATTAAAGTTAATATCCTTCCGGAGTTTTCATCCGAACAAAACTTTGAAATTTACTTTCGTTCTTTTTTTTAATAATTGTTTTAGTACATATGGCATTAAATCAAGCAAAAAAATGTTACTTTATGACATTTAATCTCAATTTTTTCAACACAAAAATCAGCTATAAAAAATCTGATCGACAAAAGTTTACTCTCATTTAGACCTTTAAAATAAAAAAAAATGCTGACTATATCTTGAATCCGCTGGGAATTATTCTAACGTTTATGATTGAAAATCAAGTTCTGAGAAAATTACTTTTCTGAGTGCATACAGGTCAATCGGCTGAAATTGGGAAGTCACAGGAAAAGTCGGACACTGGTCGACTAACTGCGCTGTTCGATAGATATTCACAAGGTATGCGTGCAATCCTCAATGTCACCAGCCATGGAATGGCCTTGGACAAATCAATAACGGCTATTTATTTCGAATCATCTGTTCAATGATGTGTCGACTATATTGTGACATACACCTGTCATGGTGGCTATTGTGTGGTTAGTTAGTGTGTAGGAGGAGTTCAGATAATCGAGCGCGAGCACTCTTTATCAGGCTGGGCTTCTGTCGACAGCTACAGCTGGCCATAGTTGTAGAGAAGATATCCTACTACTGAGTGCCACTGGGCAGCATCTCATGCCATCAGGTAGCTGAAAGACAAGGGTATTCTTCCAGAAAAGGTCTTCTAACTTTCGAACAGAACAAGCCAAAAATCTTGGTCTTGCACAGACTCAAAGAGGAGGTTTTTTTTCTATCGATTAGATGGGTGTGGATGTTTGTGAAAGGATGACCAACATCCGCACTCACCCACACCCACATCCTTAAAAATCTTATATCTCCGTCAAAATGCATTGAAAAAAAGAATCCTGTGGAGGTTGTGCTAGTCTAGTGGTGATCTACGTTTACATTAACATATGAGCTTTACACATTCTAATAACATGGATGATTCACCTGTTTCTGAGATGTTCCTTGAAAATGACCTGAGACTACAGTATTTCAGATAGAAGTCACTAAATTTTTTCGGCCAAAGTTATTTTCTGTCAACTATACGTCTAACCAGCACAAAAAAGTTGATAAAAAAATATTTACCCGAAAAGTGGTTGGATACCCATGGATTTACCCATTATCCGATGAGTTTTAAAAACTAAGATGATATTAGTAATTAGCATACTAAGCTGTATTGAAAATTATAGAGACTTTGAATAGAACGCCAATAAAAATTTTGTTCGATACCTGAGGGGGACTCCAGATATGAAAATTGGAGTCGCAATAAAATACAAAATAAACTTGTGATAAATAATCAGTGTTCAATGCTGATTTGCAGAGGAATAAAATTAGGGTCAAATGTTTTGGGACAGCAGGTCCGGGATTTGACATACTTCCTTTCGATCAAATAAGATCTGTTCGTAGTCGAATCTGTATAAAACTTAAATGATTATCACTATTTAACTATGGAATTGATTAGTTCTGCAAATCTAATTAATTTTTAAATTTATGACAAGGGATGTTTGCGCATAATAATGAAATATGTAAACTTGATCAATGACTTGTATATT